GGGCCCTGTATTGTCCCCTGGGGATTTCCTCTTAAGTAGGTTTAAAAAAAAACCCATTATCTTCAGTATATTGAGACAACTCTCTGAAGACACACAAGACTTTCCTACAATTAGAAAATATGCAAGTAAATTCCCTCTAGTTTCTCACATTCTGATCTGGTGAGAGCTCTAGTGTACACGAGGCTTCTGGTTCAGCCACTCTGGGTGGGTGGGGTGTCTTTTGTTTTTAACCTCCTTGCTTTACATGCTGTAAAGTACACTTAACTAACCTGATAGAAGTGCTGGGGCTCCCACTAGTTTTAATGCTGATACAGCTTATTATATGCAACCTTACTTGTTTCTCCTGTGTCTACGTATCATTCTTGATTGAACAGGGAAGAGATTTCTCAATTAAAAATCTCTGCATAAATTGTAGAGGTGGTGGGGGGGAGGGTACAGTGTTAACTTTTTTGGAATGGGAAAATTATTAAATTGTACTAGCCATTTTTGTTTGCTAAGCAGTACTTGGTAATAAAAAGAGAAATCAAAATAAGATCAAATCTCTCTGTGCCAAGTCTCAGGTTGACTTAGAACCAGAATGCCCTGCATATGTTGAGTTGTTCTGGAACAGTCTCCTTTAAAGAATACCAGCCCTATCTGAGGACTTAAAATTAAGAAATCTCTCTTCACTAAAATCCTGTTTAATGGGATTTTCTATTCTCTCTGTGTCACATCCCCCTGTTTCCGTTTATCTTTGTACACAAGTCAGTGGATAGGTCATAGGCCTAGGAGTCAGGAAATCTGGGTTTTAGTCTCATCTGTGCTTTGACGCTTTGGGGAAATCACTTTGGGGAATAATAGCTACCTTTTGAAAAACACTTTGAGTTATGTGGATGATAGGAATTGTTACAGCTATAATGTTAAGTAGTCTTTCCACTCTTTTCTGTTCTCATGTTTTTCCACCTTAATTCTGTATCTCATCTATTTCATGGCATTTGTCTTTTCCATGTGTTGATTTCTTGCGTTTTATTTCCAGTCTTGGCTTCAGTGCATTCCATTCAGATGTTACCTCTTCGTTTTATACCTGGGTATGTAACATGTGGCAGAGGAGAATTTTGTCATAGTGGACTCATAAAATGTGACTCTGGGCCACCCTTTCTTTGTAACTGCTATGTGAGGGGGTGTTGATCAACTGTAGGAGCTATTGTTAAACAGGAACTTCTAGTTAGAATTCATCTAAGAGCCTGTTTATTTTTGAAAAAACAACAACCACCCTCACACCCTTAAAAATAGCCTGGTTGTGGCCATTTGATCCTGGAAAGTAGCCAGAGCGGCTGTTTGTGCTTTGTGTTGCAGAAGTTGGATTCCTTGATGCTGTCCTCTTTCTAACTCTTCTGTAGTCATCTCTGTAGGATGGGATACAATAGGGAAAGTTTACCTCCTTCTCTTCTGACACCTCCCCCCAAATCTTAACTACCCATTTGAAGCAATTGAAAAGAAAACTATGGAATGAAGACCAGAGATCTGGGAACTTCACAAAAATATTGTAGGTTAAATCATCACTTTGGACTCGAGGCATCGTGTGATACAATAATGGCCTCTGCATATGTTTTTTTTCCCTTAGTTGCTCTTTTATCACTAGAACTAATCTTATGTCTGAGAGAATTCTGCACCAAAAAAATAAAAATAAAAATTTTGCACGCAATATTTTAAAATGCTGCATATTTTATTTGTCAGTAAATAAATACCGAGGCTCCAGCGTGACAGTGGGGAGCACAGGCCACTGGCTGCATGGAGGTAGGAGATCACCCTGCAGCCCACCCCCCGGGACGTGGACTCAGTGATGAGGCTGCACCTGACCCTGACACAGTGCAAGGGCTGGGCCCACCCCAGAAACTCCCCAGGGCCCTTCCTGCTCCTCTGCACCAGGCACACCAAGATAGCAAGCAAGAGGGAAAGAGGCTTGCACACACGCCCAGCCCTGATCCCCGATTCAGGTAGACTCAGCCTGGCAGGATCCAAGTGTGGGGGGCTCCAGGTGTGGGGTGAGAGGGTTCTGTGTGGGGCAATCTGAGTGCGGGTGGTTTGGTGGAGGATCTGGGTGCTGGAGGGATCTGGGTGCACAGGGGCTTGTTATGGGGTTCTGGGTGCAGCAGGAATAAGAATCTGTAGGGGGGGTCTAGGTATTGGGGGATGGGGCTCAGGAGGGGGTTCTGGGTGCTGGGGGAGTGGGGTTCTGGGGTGGGGTTTGAGTGGAGGGCTCAGTGGGTGGTAGTCTGTGTACAGGGGGTGAGGCTTGGTGGGGATGCTGGGTGCAGGGGGGTGAAGGTTGGATGGGGGAGGGGTCTGGGTGTGTGTGTGGGGTCCGGATGCATAGGGGTTGGGTGGAAGGGGGAGCAGCTCCCTGTACAGTGAGGCCTCCCCCTGTGGCTGAGGAGTGATGGGGGGCAGGAAGGGAGCTTCCTGTAGCCAAAAGAAGTTTCTGGGGGTGGGTCTAATCTGGCCCAGCCGCTACTTACAGGGAAAGAGGAGCTGAGGAGGGGCACATCACCACTCTTGTGGCTTCCCTTTTGTTTCCCCTTCAGAAAGTCATTTTTCTGCAGGGACATAAAGAAATCTGCAGAGGATATGAATTCTGCATGTGCGCAGTGGCACAGAATTCCCCCAGGAGTAACTTAATCTAGATGCATTTAAAATGAGCTGATGTGACCAAGGTATTATACTCTGAGAATTGCCCCTTGTAGGGATAGGGGAGTGACCAGATCGGTTTGAAAACAGCAAACAGCTGGTTTGAGGGTGTTCTAAAGTTCAGCAGGGAGCTTTGTAAAAGTGATATGTTCTAAACGCTTACAGTCTGCAATTTACAGTGGAGTTTCCTGGAATCTAGAAATTGCTATAAGAAAAAGAGCATGGCAGACCTTCAAAGTGGCATGACACAGCATTTCTATGCCAACAGAATTTGTTGGAAAGCATGGTGTAGCAAAATGCAAATTAGTAAAGTTGAAAAGGAAATAGCTGGTAGTGTAACTATATCATTGCAAATAGTCTTTTTCTCTGCTTGGGAAGCAAAGCTAGATTATCATTATTAGCATGAGTGCCAATACATAAGGCATTGATGCAAATGTTGCCAACCTCTTCTGCCCTTCCCCCTTTCAGTGAAAACCAGCCAACTAAACAAACCCTTTGTAGTGCAGCTACCAAGTGTACTGAGCGATTGATTACTGTATTTTGAATCCTGGTTGGATCCAGTGGACTTCAAATAGAATTAGATATAAAGGCCATTGGGCAATTTACTATAAAACAGTCACATGTATAGGTTATTAAGGCAGAGTTAATGTTGTGGGATATTGAAACTTAGAATTAGTAGCCACCTTCATTCCCAAGTGCAGAACTATTTTGCATAACCAGTTCATTGATGAAATTCTGAATTCTTTACAAATACGTCTTATACTGTCCCCACTTTTCACTGTGAAAAGCAGTTATTGCAGTTAAACACAAGATTCTACAGAAAAGCCATCCTTAAGCAAATTCCGAAGTTAATTTCAAGTTATGGTATTGAATGTGCATTTCCAATTCAGTGCTCTTTATTCCCTGGCCCCGTGACATAGTGCATTTTATGAGTGAGGTATGTTAAAAGTACTACATATGTAACTCTGGAAAGACATCACTTTGTTGTCATGTGCCTTAGAGATACTTAAGAATCAATATCTGCAAAACTTCCAGACCTTATGCTAGTAGTGTTGATATCTTGACATTAGTCGACAGATGCTTGTAATTGTTGTTTAAAGATTATTTGCCGAGCATGATGAAACCATCTGTATTTGGGTAGTTTCTGAAGGAATAGTATAATCCTGTAATGAAAACACTCTCAAACATTTTTAAAGTATCATTATTAAGGGCATGTGGGTTACTACTTCAGCTGAAAGACTTAGCAGCCATTGTGCTGTGGCAAGTTTCTTATATTTGCCCCAACAATTTTTCCGGAAAGAATGTTCTGTTAGACTTAAAATGGGGATGTTAATTCTAGACTTTTTTGTTGGGGTGGCTTGAGTAACATTTAGAAAGAGAACGAGGAGTACTTGTGGCACCTTAGAGACTAACAAATTTATTTGGGCATTAGCTTTCATGTCTCTAAGGTGCCACAAGTATGCCTCGTTCTTTTTGCTGATACAGACTAACACGCCTACCACTCTGAAACCATTTAGAAAGAGGGAATTCATTGTGTCTTGGACTGGACAGTGGTATCTTATTACCCAGGAATCTGCCCTCAAAAGCGTTTGTTGTTTTTCACTCTCAGAAAAGGAAAGCTACGTTAGAGTCATCAAGATGAATAGTGGTACCTTCCATGGGCTAAAACAGGGGTTAGGATAAATGTTGCAGATGTCATTACAATAACATACCCAGTAGTGGTGTTTTGAGGCTGCTAAATGTTTCAAGTCTCCTGACTCTTAATCAGAAAATCACAGAACAAACCAAGAGGAATTTCAGTACTCAGTGCAAATGAATATAAAGCGTTAGGTACACTATGCAAGCTTCATGAGAGGATTGTTTTCCATTATTCAACTGGTTTTGAACTGTACTTGTCAAAAACTTGAGTTGTCATGAGAACTGCTGCCGAAGAATGAATTTGCTTAAGTTGGAGGAAAAAAACAATTACAGAAGATCTATTGTTCTTGTTTTCTTTGATGGCTTAAAAAAAGTCTTTCCCATCCCTTGGTTTTTCTTTCTGAACTAAGTTACCCATTGAGAAAGGGATAACATGCTTGTTTGAAACACTGTCTTCTCATGTGTTGGACTACAGTGAAAGTGATTAGAAAACAACAAATTAAGGAATAGTTGCAGGTTTTGTGTGCAAAGTTGCTATGGAAAACAGCAGATGTCCTCAGATTCAATTCTTTGGTCACCTGATTGACTTGGACATTTGTACTCCTTCTGTGACTGAAATTCAGATAACCGCGAACAGGTCAGGTAATTGCTGCAGCTTGGCAGGAGTTACTTGACGCTCCCCTCTCTCCGAAGCAATGAATGGTATTGGGGAGGATGGGTTTACAGGACACCTGTTGGCAGCAAATGCTGCTCCAGTAAGTTACTACTTCATGGGATTGACAGCGTGACTTACACAAAAAATTAGACACTTCAAAACTAGAAAAGATCTATCATTCAAATACTGTGAAACTGTTGTTGAGCAGTCAGCAAAAGGAAATGAAGTTCACCATGGGTGCTGCCAGGCATACAGAGCAAACCGTGTATTACATTTTGGACTGTGGCTTTTTCAATATGGAGAGTCATGCCAAGCCTTTGGCTTTGCAAATAAGCTGTCCTGGAGAATTTGTAGATGTGGTATAGACTTTTGTCAAAGACCTGTGGCATCTATTTCAACTGAATGCTTTAGAGACTGATTATACAGGTATCAGTAAAGTACTGTATATTGGCTCTGGAGAAAAGAGAAATGACAGAATTACCTCTGGCGGAGGGGAAGTCTATTTGTTGACATAGAAAAATGATGAAAAGCCGAGCTGTTCTTACAAAGCACTCACTTCACACTGAGGAAAATATCTAATTCATAAAAAGAAAACTAGTAACCATTGAAGTTAAAGGTAAAACCTAAATTCCCAGAGAATTACAATAATGTGTGCACACAGTGTTCTTGGAATGAAGCCATTATTGTTTATTCCCAGATAATAATATTCCACAATAGGCACCTAGGAAATACTCCTTTATGGAAGGAGAGCAAACTTGGTACAGGCTCTGAGAGTTGAGGAAGGTGGAAGAAGGTAAATACTTACTTTAGGTATCCTATCTAAAGAGAGAAGAATGATAGCTTTGTGAGTACTAATTTAAAAACAAAATAGCAAGCTTAAAGAATTTTGTCAACTTTACCCTTACAACAGCAGTTCACCACTACATATCACAAGGAAATGTTAGCCCTTAAATTTGATTAGAAATAACTTGATATATAGATAGCTAGCCTTGTGATAGTGCCCAAAATGCAGCAGCCATGTTCTCAAACAGTTAAGGAAAACACCACTCTGGTCTCAAAGAGCATAAAGTTTTAGACCTAGAACTTCATAGCTTTTTACAGTTAGCAACTTTTTTCCCCTTGTAAATCTCAATGTCTTTCTTTCTGTCTTTCTTTCATTCATTGCAGTCAAAGGCAATGGGTAGCCCTATTATGGCTAACTTAATAGATGTCAGTTCTCATAATTGTAGCCTAGTGGGTAAAAGTGTCTGTTTCATATTTTAGAGAAAGCACGTTCAAATCCAGTTAAGTTTCTACTGGCACTCTTTTCTATAAATGTGACTTAGTTTAAATCTTGTTAACATTCTAAAATGCACAAAACCTGATCCAAAATACTTTTAAAAAATGTAAATGTTGCCTAATCACCCCAATTGTCTTCACTCTTCTCTTTCAATAGCTACTTTTTAACAAGCCTGTTCTTATATCTCCTAGAGTGTTTTTATGCCATATTTCCAATAAAATTTAATACCTTTTAATTGTTTTTAACATTGCCAATTCAAACAAATTACTACATTCTGAAAATGGCAAGCTTTCCCCAGCATGAGCAGTTCATATCTATTGTATAAAATATTTCTTAAACAAACAAACAAATCTGTCTTTTTATTCTTGTGCTACATAACTGGGAAAACCTGTCTGTGTGGTTATTAGCATGGAAGTAGTCATGACATTTTAAAATCACGATAGTACTGTAATAGTAGGGCTGTCTGTACGTTCATGGCACTGACAGTAAACCATGAGGCTTGTACTAGTTTAGTGTGCTCCAGTCTCTTTATCATCCAGAGTGCACATGCATGCTTTTTACAGTAATATTAGCAATAGAGTAACTTTTCTTCCACGAAAGAAGCTGCCTCTACAGATGCCTTCTGTCTCTGTTGCTCTCATGAGGACCCTGTCAACACTGCAAGCCTCATGCCCCTCGTAGATATGGTATCCACAGTACCTCCTCCATGTACTATTATATCAGGAACTTACTTTCATAATTATCACAAGGATCTGCAGTTTATCTTGTACTTTGGACCACCTCGTTTCCACTCTGCTCTAATCTATCCCGCTACTCATTCTAATAGTCCAAACAACCACCACTTCGTTTTAAATTAACCTGCCCCAGAAATATTTCTTCCTTCTCCTCAAAATGTGTAGTTTCCCCTGAAAGTAGCCTCCCCTTTGCCCCCCCAGGCCAGGTCATCCAAGATTGAGTCCTGGGCCACTGTTGACTTTTTTTGTCCTTAAAAATAACTACCTCAAAGCTAGGTATCTCGTGGTCCCGTAGGGCTAGAAATTTGAAATTTATCTCAGTGGAAAAAAGAGTAATTTGCAGTTTTTAAAAGGAGACACAGCACTTTCTTCTAGCTGTGGAAGAACATGAGACACAGGAATTCAAACTCATAACAGTTTTATGTACAAAAAGGTGACACAGGCCCAAGATTGAATCCTGCCTGTTTTGGGCTTCGGGTAGAAATACTTTTTTGGGGGGGAGGGGAAGAAATCTGTGTTTGAGGTACGGAGGAAGAAATCTTATCTGGCTGGTTTGCGGTGATGACTGTTCAAAGCTGCTCTTGGGCTGGAATGTTGACATCCTGGGATATTAATTAGTGGGCAGGCAAAGATGCAGGATAATCTTTTTCACATGGTTATTTTCTCCATGTGCATGTGTGTAAGTAACACGGGCAACCACCTCCCATGATCCCACTCGTGGCCAGAGGTCACTTAAAAGCACCCTTCCTCTATTTCCTGCCCCTCCCCCCCCCCCCCCGGGTACTTTAAGAACTCACTCAATTCAAAAGTATTTCAAACAGTCTCCCCTTGGGGTCCAGGTGCATACTGGCACTCTGGGCCTCTACCCCAGTTCACCGTCTTTCCTCATAATCCAAAATAACACCATGGTCTTTCAGAAATAGAACACAAACTCAGTCTTCATCCCAATTTCAGATGGCACAGTCCCACCTCCTTGAGGGGGTCTTTCTGCTTCCCAGCATCTTCTGCCTTTAGTTTGCCCTTCTCCACAGGCCTTTCCAGTCTCACCCCTGCTTGGACAGGGTGGCTCTCAGGCCTCCCTGCCTGGAGAACTGTCATCACTTTCTCCTGCTTCTTGAGCTTTTCCACTTACTGAGGGCCCTGCTGAAGCTTTCTTGCTTCCTGCAATGTGTAACTAATTTCCAGGGTTTCCCTACTTCATTGCAATATCCTGCTCCTTTTGTATGGGAATCACATAATTCCTCTCAGGTGAGGCTCATCCTATAATCAGCGTTGGCTTAGCTCCAGGCTCTCCAGCCATCCTATTCCATTACACTGTATGTAGTCCAATGTTCTCCATAGCAATGTTTCCCCCCTTCATTATTTGGGATCTCTTCTTTCTTTCTCTTCTATCTTTCTCCCACTTCACAAAATCTCTCGTCCTTTTTCATGACCCTTCCTTCTTTTATTAAAACTATTTCCCACTCAATCTTCTCTGCCCCCTTCTCCTTCTCTGGGTCTCCTGTCCTCACTTGTCCTTGCCTCCTTCCTCCTCCAAATGTGCTCTCCCAGCACCATTTCCTTTCCTCATCTACCTTGTTCTCCACCTTCTAATTTCCCTGAATCTGCCCCAGTGTCCTTATTCTTGTGTTGCGAAGCATCTGCCACTCTGTTCTGTCCTGGATGCTCTTCGTTCTCTGGCTCCTTACTTCCCCTCAATACTGTCTCCAGTTCTCCCAGGGTTCTCTTTCATCACAGTCAAATTGTCCCCCCCACCAGATCTTCTTTGATCTCCTCAGGCTAGGTCTTCCTTTACCCTAGATTATTAATAATAGATACCTATAGTTAGTGTAGAATGGTATAAGAGAGCTTTGTGTACATACCTGGCCCTTAGTCCAGGAGCCTTTGACCCCGCACCAGGACCAACTGGGTTCTGAACTGCATAGGGAATGTCTACAATATAATAAAATGCATTTAGCTGGCTCATGTCAGCTGACTTGGGCTTGGGCTGTGGGCCTATAAATTTTCAGTATAGATGCTCAGGCTGGCGCCTGGACTCTGTGACCACCCCCACCCCACCCCAGGGTCTCAGAACCTGGGCTCCAGCCTGAGCCTGAAGATCTGCACTGCAGTTTTATAGCCCTACAACCTGAGCATGAATCAGATGACATGGCCAGCTGTGGGTGTTTTCTTGCAGTGTTAGCATTACCCACAATGGCTTCGAGATAAGCCTCCTGGGAGCCTCTTGATCCTACTAGAGATTGACATCTGCAATTTTTGCAGTAAATGAAGCAAGAGATGACAGCCTTGCTTATTACACCAATCTTATTTGTCCCCTGAGCATCATCCATCTTGTGCACTGAATAAGGAGGCAGGGGCATTTAGGGGGGGGAGGAATAGTATGTGATCAAGTATCTGAAGAGTGTGTCATCATGCATACCCACAAAGCGGCAGAATTAAAGTTATACCGGAAATCTTAATTTTGGCACTTACTGACTTTTGAGTGGTTGTCTATGCAACCATAATATTCTTTTAACATTATTTTTCTATGATCTTCACAGTAGCACTATGAAGTCAGTCACTTCCTTCTAAAACTTTGAAGATGGGACTTTGGTTTTTGAACACCCACGTGAAGTGGATTACTTTACCACTTTTGCCATCTACACAGCAGCTGACTGTCATTGTCAACACTCTCTTGCTTCTGCTGTAGATATTAAAAAAAAAAAGGGCAGGGGGAACAGGGTTGGGAGTGGGTCATACACCTAGGCTTTGTCTACACCGGCTTTTTGGCATCAAAATCTTTGTCGTTCAGGGGTGTTTAAAAAAACACCCCTCCCCCCCCCAAACGACACACGTTTTACCGACTAAAAGCGCCGGTGTGAACAGCGTCTTTTAGCGGCATGGCTCTGTCGCTAAAAGCTGCGTAATGTAGCCATAGCCATAGTGTCTGAAAGGTAGGTGACCCCCAAGGGCACTAAACCCTATAGTGCAATCCTGTGCCATTTTCTGAAACCATTCTGTTTTTTTGGATTATTACTGTTCTTGGCATAATGTGCTAGTAGATTTCCAGAGGGTCTCATATACACAGCTTTTCAAAGGAATTTGGTCAAGCTAATTGTATACAGTAAAACTATAAAAACAACAAGGAGTCCAGTGACACCTTAAAGACTAAGATTTATTTGGGCATAAGCTTTCGTGGGTAAAAAACCTCACTTCTTCAGAGGCATGGAGTGAAAATTAAAGATACAGGCATGAATATAGGCACATGAAGCGACGGGAGTTGCGTTACAAGTGGAGAATCACTTGTCAACACTGGTTCGCCACTTGTATGGTAACTCCCTTCTCTTCATGTGCCTATATTTATGCCTGTATCTGTAATTTTCACTCCATGCCTCTGGAGAAGTGTGTGTGTGTGTGTGTGTGTGTGTGTGTGTTTGTTTGTTACCCACGAAAGCTTATGCCCAAATAAATCTTCGTCTTTAAGGTGTCACCGAACTCCTCGTTGTTTTTGTGGATACAGACTAACACGCTACCCCTCTGTTACTTGGCAGTAAAACTACAGTATCCTTGTTACCTGATGAAATAAAACTCTACTTAAAAAGCTTTCCCCCTACCCCACTGTGCTGTTTACTGTCTATATTTTTTGCTCAGCTTGGACAGTGAAGTAAACAAGTCATTTTCACCCTTGTTTGTAGTCCATTTCTCTTTCTGATTCTTCTGCTGAAATACTGGTGGTCTCCGCGCTTTAAGGGAAAATGTAGGTCTCAAAAACCTTTTTTCCCTTAAAATTAAAAGGCTGTGTTGCTGTTCTAACACACTTCTTACTAGAAGACAAACTTGTGGAAAATAGATTTAGCTCTCCTGTAAAATTTCTGTGCTCATTTTTCATGGTTTTTGTTGCCTTTTTATTTAAAACATTAACTGGTAAGTTACACTATTACAGCTTTCAGGCTGTGAAATTTAGACATAGTGTCACTATGTAGTTGAAATGTGTTTTGATGTAATTATTTCCCCTAGAATATGCCTACCCTTATGAAGTGCGTAGCTTGGTTGCCATGTGTCGTAAAACTTCATAGAAATAGAGTTCAAATTATAACATTTTAACTCCCATTAATAGCTCAGTCTGACATGCTTTGATCCTCATTTCACTCTGTTGCTTTAAAGGGACACTGACTAGATTGTGATAACAATTTTTTTAAAAAAGAGTTAGAAGTAGTTTCAAGTGCACATCTGCTGTAGAGCCCCTGCTTTTTTTAAAATTCTTACAATTGTGTGATCTATTTATATAAATAGCTTTTTTCCCCCTCTCTCCTCTCTTGCTGTGTGAAAGACCCATGCAAACAGGGGAAACTGACTACACAGAAGAGCAGAGAAACTGATTAGATAAAATCAAATGCACAAAATAAATTAGTGTCAATATTTTTCAATGTGACTTTTTTCTAAGTTAATATTGTGAACTACTTGGTGTTCAGACTGATTGATTCAAGGGAGGATTGAAACTAACTAGATCAAAGATGTGAGGTTTGGTGTGTAGTTTACTTGTAAGATCAGAAATACTTTCAAAGATAGCTATATATATATAGATGATTTTTTTTGCAGACGTCTCCACCTCAACAAGAAAGCAACAGACAAACAACCCTATAGCAAGCTTCCTGGTGTCTCACTTCTAAAGCCATTAAAAGGTGTAGATCCTAACCTCATCAACAATTTAGAGACCTTCTTTGAACTGGATTATCCAAAGGTATGTCTGAGTTTACTTTTTTCAGAAGTTGAATTGGTGGCCTGTGCTAGAGCTATCAGAGTATAATGTGAATTTTTATTTTTACACGATAGATGGAGACAAACAACTTACGTACCACCTTATGTATTTCATGACATCTGTTTGTTACCTCCCTTGTTCCTGATATCTCGGCTACAACATCCCTACTCATTATTCTGTCAAACCATCTTATCTTGTGCTAGATTGGGGTGTATTTGTACCATAGCATTCTGCAATATAGTTATATAACTATTTCGTGCGCACTAAACTAGCAACAGCTTTGCCAAGTTTATGTACCAAACAGTGTACTTGTAAGCATTTACTTTAATATGTGGCCTGACTTTGATTTACAGCCTCTGGTTCAGGACTCAAATCTTGCACCATACCCAGTGCTTCAGGCTCTCTCTCTATTATGTTCCCTGCTGCTGCTTCTTTCTTTCTTTTTTTTTTTTTTTTTTTTTTCCCCCAAATGTGGAGGATGTTTACCCATCATTCTGGTAAAGCATAATGCGTGAACTGAAAATGACCCAGTGGGCTAAACACTCTTTTATGGCCACCTTACGTTGCCATTTTTGTCCCATTTGTTCTTTGGTTTCCCCTTTTTTCATACAACCAATAGACACATCTTCGTTTTTAATTGTTTTTTAGTTTTATATAGTGGGCCTGGGAATGTTAGGTTTAGGACTTGAATTGAGAAGTGTAGTCTTACAGTTGTTCTGAAATACTGGGCTAGGCATTATTACAGTGTGTCTTACAATGCTATGTATATAAGAAGTAAAACAGAAATTTTGTAGTGACATTACAAATGAGGCTTTGCTGGGACTCCCAGTGGGCGTAAGAGGCTGTCTGAGGATTCCTTTCCAGGATCAGGCCTTCAAACGCTTTATTCCGCAAGTACTTGGCAAAGTGCCTTAAGTTCTGCAGGAAAGGGACAAAATACAGCATTGCTCCTGAAAGCTGCATTGTTGGGAACTCAAGCTTTTGGTGAAAGGCAATGTAAACACTTAAGCACAATAGCTGGTTTCAGTCTTATTGTAGTAATCATTGAAAGAATATTTGATAACTTGTAGCCTTAAAAAATATCCTTAATATTTTGGGGTTCTTAAAGTGTAATAAATTTGGTTTTCTCGTGCGTGTGTGTGTGTGTGTGTGTGTGTGTGTGAAAGAGCGAATCAAACATTTAACTTTTCCTGTACAATAATGATGTTTGTTTCCTGCATAAAAATACCTTTCCAGTAACACAAAAGAAAATTCTTTAATGTTTTACAAGTACAAAAATGTTCTCTGGGGCTGAAGGCTATATGTTTTTTCAGAAGTACTGATGGTATACTCTAACAGCAGCATTCTTCACTGATAATACAGTACTTGTAGCTATTGATGTGTAAAAGCAAATCCTTCAGTTCTGTAACACTGCTTCCTGTGCCAAGTTTTGGTAGAGTTTTGTAGACTGTAACTATTTCCTTATTTTAATAAGTTGTACACCCATTTGCATCAAATCTTGTTTTACTAGTATGAAGTGCTCCTGTGTGTACAAGATCATGATGATCCAGCCATCGATGTGTGTAAAAAGCTCCTTGGCAAATACCCGAATGTTGATGCTAGATTGTTTATAGGTAAGTAATACAACTGCATGGCACAATTCATGCCTTTATAAATGGATCGTAAAGAAGCTAACAGCAAAAAAATGTGTGGAGTCTTCTAAACTGGGAAACCTGTATTTGTCTGTGGATGCTGGTTCTGTAGTAGGACAGCCTATTCGAAGGAAATGTAAGCTTGTCATCGACATCCTGACGCCAATTAAAAAAACAAACTCCAAGGAGGATAATTTGTGCGAATTAATATTAGCCACTCTCTTCTACTCCAGAATCACTCCTCTCAGTGCTAGGGCTGTGCAGCTTATCAATTACTTCAGTCTTAAGACTGCAAAAAACAATTGTGCATTGGACCTCGATGCCAGTTGGCTAGGCCTGAATACCCAGAAATGATTTTTAGAGTGTTACCACGTACCTTCATGATAGTAGGTCTACTCCCAAGACATTTTCCTACTCTACACACTTGTAGGATAGGGCCACCTCCTCTCCTCTATGTGCCTTGTGTTTAAAGGAGGGGAAAGGAGCTTTAGTGCCCAAAATCTTTATTGCTCTCCCTGCCTAACTTTGAACAAACTGAATGATGTCTGGTACTCAGCTAGGGACAAAAATGCTGAGGTGGTGGTGATTTTTATTTGTATTACCATAGTGCCTAGGCACCTCAGTCATGGACCTGGACCCCATTGCACTATCTGCTGTACAAACACAGAACAACAAATTGGTCCCTGCACCAAGGAACTTTTAATTCTATTCTCCCACCCAAACAAACACACAAAAATCATACCCAAGAGAGTCATTGCTATATATAATATCAGTTGAGTTGGCAAACTCAGGAGAAGGGGACTCTAACCCCTTAGAATGCAGTCTCTGAGCCCCAGCAGATAGCTGTTGTATGCACAGGGCCCTTAGTGTGATAAACAGTAATTTAGTGAGCTTATAATATTGTCTCTTCGATACAAAATTTAATAAAAATGTTCTTTGGAAAAACTACAGTATCTGTTAATGGGATGAATATATGTAACATAGGCTTCGACTGTCTTCTTTGTTTGGCTAAGAAGACCAGAATAGATTTTCAGAAGTGAAGGTTAGCATTTACCATTACCACCCTAATTTTAGAGGGGAGGGGTATAGAGTCTGTATTCTATTACATATTTGTAAAATAGCTTCTGGATTTTGGAAACATGCATGATGTGTATAACTGTTTTTTATTTTTAATTTTAAGGTGGAAAAAAGGTTGGCATCAACCCCAAAATTAACAATTTAATGCCAGGGTATGAAGTTGCCAAGTATGATCTCATATGGATATGTGACAGTGGAATCAGAGGTAGGTGTATGGTGTGATGGTGGTATTTGGAGTGTTGTCTTTTAAAAATACAGTACTGACTACCTGCTTCTTGGCTGTACCGCTAGACAGGCAATTTAGTTCTCATAAGTCTATACATTAAGATTGACTTCCAATTGAGTTACAACTGTTAAAGGACACGGTCTGCTTTAATTTGGGATCTTAAATGACATGGCTTCTGAATTCAATTATATGAAATGTTGTCTGTACTTCAATTTAGTGGATTTTTGTTGATCACTCCAAAGCTAAATTAAGTTGCACCTGTGTGATTAATGCTCAGTGTATAGCTCTGCACAGACACAGGCACTAACTGATTGGTGGTTTTGTACACACACACACACACATACACACACACACTCTCTCACTCTAAGATGAAATAGGCATGTCTCTTGCTGTAATGTACAAGTTAAAAAAATAAGAGACTTTAATCCTAAGTAATGTCTTTCAGTTAAAGTAGCACATCCAATTTTTAGTTTTAGAGGATGTTTGCACTTCTAAAAATGAAACAATTATTTTGATACTTCTAGTGATTGAGTTACTTGTACTCTAATTTCAGGTCTCAATCATAACTACAGGTATTTCTCCTTTTGCAGAAAATCTAATTTTAAAAAATTGGTGTCAGTTTTTATTGTCCCACTGCTGCCAGTCTGCAAATTGTTAGAAACTTATGCTAGACTGTAAATGTTGACAGCTCCAGTCTTAGTGGAATTTTTTGTTACACAAAAATATAGTTCACCAAATATGTGACTAACCTTTTCTGCACTTTTAGTAGTAGAATATAAACTTGAATATATCTTTATAGAGTGAACTTCACTACTAATAATGAACAAATGGCATACAATGTTTGCATACTAATAATCTATTTATCATTTACTTAGTAACACCAGACACCCTAACTGATATGGCCAATCAAATGACAGAGAAAGTTGGTTTGGTCCATGGTTTGCCCTATGTAGCAGACAGACAGGGCTTTGCTGCCACTTTAGAACAGGTGAGTGCAATATTACTTTCTTTTGTTGTGGTTTCTTTCCAACAATGTTTTACCTTTAATAAGCTTTTTATATATAAATTTAAAAAAATATTTTATAACATTCGCATGAGTATTAAGCCTAGTTTACAGGAAATTGTAACAGTGTTGACAGCCTGTGGTTCAGTGTCTAAGATTACAACTTTATAATCTAAAACCTTTATTTTATATAAAGTTTGTGAGAACTGACCAGGAAAGTCACTGCTTTCAGCACCGGGCCCAATTGATTGAGCTTCCTCTGTGGTTTTGTGGGATGGGGGAAGCTTTTGAATTCACCTCTGATGTGCTGGCAGGGCAAGTTCTTTGCTGTGAACTAGAAGTGAGACTGTTACTGCCCTTTGTTTAAGCAGCAGTTCTTGTCCATTGGATCCATGTATTACAGAACAAATAGACCCTTCCTTGATATCCCAGCAGCCTAGTCACAACTCTGCTGCCAAAAGGGCTTTCATGCTGGCCCTGAAGGCCCCTCTGCCCACCCGGAGGGGTACTGTGGGTTAAAAAATTTTGGAGAGACTTGTGAGTATTTACCCTTGGATGAATTTCACCCTTCATAAATATTTACTTTAATATAATTGTAAGCAGAAATATATACGCCACCTCTTCTGAAGAACCATCCCTAGGGTAAAAACATTTAGTTTAGTTGTGAACAAAGGAACCGTAATGGCTTAAGGTAAGACACGGGAGCAGTCTGTGTGTGATCGGATAGTAAACACTTTATTTCTAGTAATTTTTTTGTAAAACCACTAATGGGCCACTTATAGGAACTGTGGTGATGTGCATGTTTTATTCCTGAAGACCATACTTCATTTAGAGTGGTTGGAAATTTATGATGTAAATAAAAAGGATCAAATTAAAATGCTGTAGTTTGAATAAACAAAACTTTAAAATCTCAGGAAATCCAAAGTGAAGTTTCCATTTTAAAAAAAAAACCACCCCAAAAAAACTGAATTTTTTGCCTTGCCAAAGCACATCCTTTAGCTATTCACTAGATAACCCTTCACGACCAATCACCAGGCTTCCTTTACGCTTCCAATACTGAACCATCACATCCCCCCTAAAGCACCACATAACTGAGAGATACCTCTATGTAGTCCAGAAACACTGCCCTCAATTCTCCATCACATAGTGCAGTGGTCTCCAAAGTGGGGTGCGTGCACCCCAGGGGGTGCGCAAGAGGATCCTTGGGGGTGCACGGCAGTTCGGGTGGGATACTGATAGGGGTGCGCGATCAAAAAAGTTTGGAGACCACTGACATAGTGAAATGAGTAGTCCTATGACTCAGTGCACTCTTCACACTATATATTGACTAGGATATCTAACTTTTCCTTATCCTCCTAATACAATATTACTAGTGATACTGTGCCATCGAGATAAACAAAGATCTAACTTAACTTGTGTATGCTACACGCTTCTAAAATCTGAATTTGTACTTAGCAACTTTGTGTATTTTTAAATTTACAGCCAGGACCCTATTAAGTGCATTATTGCTAGGGAATGGGTACCAAACTCCACATGTCCAGATTCTCAAACATTTCTGCTTGCTTTTACAGAATTCCAGTAAACAGTTCTTTAGGGTAGATTTCCAGCCTGAGTGCTATCTGATAACACACTTTGATTTTGTAACTTCCACAACTTAGTGTTTTGGTTTTGAAGAACAATACTTGCAATGTTAATATTTTGTCAAGTAACTTTAATGATGCCAGTTTTTTACATTGTAATTGATGCTGGCAGTTGGCAGAGCAAAGTTCAGTTTACAAACTGATACTTAATTGCTTAATCTCTCTGACATGCTATTGATAAGCTTAGCAGAACTCTATTTTTATTTTTTTTATAATTTCAACAGATAATATAGATGTTTATTTTTAAGCATTTTCTATTTTTATTGATTTTGAATTTTCAGTTATGGGAAATTTTTGTGGGGATCAGACAATAATTACTTAATGACAGACATTGAGATGCAAAAAATTAAAGCTTTATAACCGTTTAAGCAGAAATGGTCAACATCATATGTCAAAATATACAGCATAAATATCCTTAAATCAAACACTAAGTTCGCAAGCAACATTTTTCTTACTTGCCTATCTGTAAATTTCAATTATTATTGACAGAAATATTTTTTGTTGGTTTGTGTGTGTACAGTGAAATTGACATTTACCACCTAAAAATCTAATCCTTTAACTGTTTGCTGTGTGTGTATGTGTGTGCGCCTGTCTGCAAATGAGCACAAATGGTGGATAGGGCTGGTGACGTGAGCTCTGCTGGATTCCTCATAGGCCCTTGGAAGTTCTTCTAAGCTGATTATGATGTTTATAGGTGAAACCTCAGCTTAATATTTTTTATAATAAATAACTCCAAAATTCTCCATCTACCCTTATTAAAATCAATACTGTACACCATTCTGATTTGAGGACTCGTGGGACCACAGTTTTGTTTTATTCTAGATCAAGTTGTTTTTGAGACAGTTCATCAAAATTGCTGTGTTTTGTGTTCTGCACCAGTGTTATAGATTCAAATAGATAGTTGCAGAATTCTAGAAGGGGTAATACGTTCTGGTCTCCTGTGTCCTAAAACCTTGTTTATCTAAGTCTGAGTTCTTGGACTATGTACTCCTAATAGGGCAGTGAAACACAATAAATACTTTAAGTGGGAATGAGACAATGTAAAGCAGTAAGAATTCATAACAAATATTAATACATTAACAAGTAAACCGCATTGTGCCTAATACAAGATGGGCGATTGATATTTGCGTTTTTAAAGTGAAAAACTTTTGAAACAAAGCTGCTTTCTTCAGTTTAGGACAAGAAGTGAACGTGTAGTTTTTGATTCTTCCTATGCTATTCTGTACTGTGCAGGCAGAGGCGTTTCAAAGCAAATAGATAGCACAATACAAAAACTGTAGCTGCTTGAAAGGTTTCTGCCAAGTTTCTTTTAGTGAAGTCAGCCACCTCTAGCTAGCCATTATCTTGTCAAAATCTTTTAGAGAAATAAATCTGATAGTAAAGATGCCATAAGTGAAGTAGAAAGTCATTTGACCAAAAAAATAATTTGCACAAATTGTCTGCATAGTTCTAAAGCCCGATTTATTACTATTCTCTTTTTGTAGGTATATTTTGGCACTTCACATCCCAGATCGTATATTTCTGCCAATGTAACTGGCTTCAAATGTGTAACAGGAATGTCTTGCCTGATGAGAAAGGATGTATTAGACCAAGCTGGAGGACTGATAGCTTTTGCACAGTACATTGCTGAAGATTACTTTATGGCCAAAGCAATAGCTGACCGGTAAGATAACTTCCAGTGAGTCTTCTTTAGACAATATTAAGTTTACAGTGTGCTATACTTACAGTCTTTGTTTTTGTAAGATAAAACTAATGCCTCTTGGTTAAGTATTTGATTTGAGGCACATTCACTGTGTATGTTTAAAACTATGGTAGGTGTTCCCATGTAGTGCATAAGTAGCAGCATAAGCCTCCCCACCCTTCTGTCCCCTGTGCATGAAATGTCCTCTCTGAATTAATCTGTAGGGCTACTACCCTCTACTCCTGCAAGTACCTTCTGAAGAGCCACTTCTTCTGGGACCTCTGCAAGGAGGTAGCAAACAGGTGATGGCCAGGTTGTGCAGCATTGGGGATATATGATTGTATTATTTAAAAAAAACAAACAAACCTTTCAGTTGATTTGGAACCCCCAAGCTATGCACACACTAACCTATGGAATCATGGAAACTTATTTTCATTACCGTGCTCATCCCTTTTCTCCTCCTGTTAGTCACATTCTTTGCATCTTGTTTCAAATAAGAGTGCAAGCTCTTTTGTGGCAAGGTACGGGCCTACCTGTGTGTTAGTGCCGTGTCGGCCCCAAAGAGATTGTGACTGACTGGGGTTTCTAGATACTGCCACAGTGCAAATAACTAAGAACAATGGTGGAAATGTGTGTCCATCTATCCTATATGAATAGATCCTTTGAGAAGTAATTAAACTTGCATCTCAATTTCAGAAGTCTACAAGGGATCAATTTTTCTGTGAACAAGGCACAAACATAATCTGTGTTGTTGCTGTTGGCTCAGGTTTTCTGAAGTAGTAATATGTGACTCCTTTTTCAATTACCAGTCTCTCTTGTGTGTGGAAAGAGAAATTATTGCTTATATTCAGCATGATAGTTTAACCATTTTATTACAGCATATATGGCAATGATAACATGTCCTTCAACGCTTGAGTTGTTCTTTACGTATGTTATTTGGAAGTTACTTATGACGTGCATTCATTTTCAGAGGTTGGAAATTTGCAATGGCCACACAAGTTGCAATGCAAAACTCTGGTTCATATTCCATTTCACAGTTTCAATCCAGAATGATCAGGTAAAAATTCTAACTATATAGATTTTTCTCCTGTCTTTCTCTGTCATTGCCTCCAATCAGTTCACAATTATAAGGTATAATGCACTTTTCCGAACTAACCATTTGACCTAGTAGCCCAAATAGAACTGCTAAAGTATCAGTTTACATTCTGATGCAGCTTTCATGCGGGAGAGCTTTCTAATGGATTATTGAGAGAGAAATAAACACTGAAGAGCATTTAATAGAACAAATGTAAGCAAGCATTTTTCTAAATACTTCAGTATACTCCAGTAGAGACGTTTTGGACTTTGTGTGCAATAACCATATAACAGATATTGTTTATGCCAATATTTGCTGGAGTGGGTATTAAGCAAAAGATTAGAGGAGGGTTTTATTGAAAAGAAACGTAAAGCACAACTTATTGAGGGAAAGGGGAGGAAATGAAAACAGAATTTTCACTATGTATTATGCAGCAAAGTTTGTCTGGTATTAAAAATAGACTTTTTATATTTTTAATTTTAGGTGGGCCAAACTGAGAATTAACATGCTGCCTGCTACGATAATTTGTGAGCCAATCTCTGAATGTTTTGTTGCCAGTTTAATTATTGGATGGGCCGCTCATCATGTTTTCAGATGGGATATAATGGTATTTTTCATGTGTCACTGTTTGGCATGGTTTATATTTGACTACATTCAACTAAGGGGTGTCCAGGTATGTAGTTGGAGTCCATATTGACCTGTGTCTTATACTGAAAGGTATTGCTAATGCCATTATTACAGTTAAAACTGACTTCACTTGAGAATCTTGTATAAAGCACCATCCTGGGAGATAGGCTAGAATTTGGCCTCATGCATTTTCTGCTATCTTACATTCATGCAACCCCAGTTTAAATGGGAGTGTAAGGCAGGACAGAATTTGGCTTTCTGTTCTAGTTTTGTTCTTTGTAAATACTGCCTCTCTCTGCAAACTTAGGGAATTTTGAAATATGATACTTGAAAGACAAGCATCTTCTCTAGATGTTTGCTTACGAGCACCTTCCCTTTTCCCTTCAAGATATTATACACTCAAATGCCTAGGGAGGGAAAAGGTATGAACTACTCATGGCCTAAAACCTAGCTTATTCCTGGTGATGCACGAGAAGATTGGTGTTTGTTTTTAACCTGCTTTAGCTGCAAAGCCTGTGGGTATGTCTATGAGGTGAGCTGTGGTGGTGATTCTTAGCTTGAGGAGACACTAGCTCTGATTGAGCTAGCACACTAAAAATAGAGTGTAGCTGCCACGGCATGAGCCGGAGGAAGGACTAGCTACCCAGAGTACAATCCTGTCTGAGGCCATAGGCATGAAATTAGGATGGCTAGCGCCTGCCACCTCTTGCTCGGCCGTGGCTGCACTCTATTTTAACATGCTAGTTTGATCAGATCTAGTGTGGTTATGTCTCCTTGAGCTGAGAATCACGCCCTTAGCTCTAAGTGTAGGCATATCCTGTGACTTAAGAAAGCTGAGCTGTTTATACATTCACCCTAACTTGAAAATGGTACAGAAAAAATATAAAATCAGGAGTACAAATGCAATGAGGGGACTTTATTACTGGGGGGGAGGGAGCGGCAAGTGGACTTCAACAGAATTTCAGATGTGGGAAACCACTGCATGGATCATAGTGTTCTGGTCTCAAGATGGCACTGCAGGAATCTTTCAAATTGATCCCTCCTTTCTGCACCACCACCACTCTCCCTCCCTCTTTTTTCTTAAAAAAAAAAAAAAAAAAAATCTTAGAATTGACTAGCATTGAAATCTTGCATTTGGTCTTGTGCCTGGCGTTCTTCTTGCCAGCACCCTTAGTGGTGTGAAATTGATTCAAAATCAGTTTCATTTTACTACTGGAGGCAAAGAAATAGCACCACTGCTTCAGAGCACAGGCAGAATTGGAGTCCTGGACATTTTTACCTTTCTTCAGCTTGCCATCTGACCTTTCTTCTGGTGATTCTGGTCCAAATCCTCAGGAGCATTTCACCCTCCTTGGACACACTACCAGTGTACTACGGCCCAGGGAGGAACATCTGGTATAAGGATGATCCTGCAGTGGCATATGGCTGACTTAGGGGCTCATTCTCTACACACCACCTTTGCTGTCGCTGTAGTGGGGAAGGAAGAGGCAGAACCACATGCCCCATTGCATTTCATAGACCTTGGTGTAGGTGCCTTGGCTCCATGTGGCCCTTATAGGCTGATATGACTTAAAAACATCTCTCTGGCTGCTCTCACACAGCACCTGGTGGAATGCATGCACCACGAGCAAGGCTAGCATTGGGTAGTGCCAGTGGGAGCTTCGTGCCAGTTTTGCACTCCCCTCTCCCTTTCCACCCTCCTCATCTTATGTGCTTTTCGTTTGGAATGAAATACACCCCTGTGCAGAGGGACCACACAGGACCTGTGCACTATTTACATCCTCCTTAGGCCCTGTTCTGTAGGCTTAAATGGTACATAGGTCTTGTGCCATGCTCTCTGTATAGGGTGGATTTCACTCTTTGGGAATACCCAAGCATCTGGCCCACTAACTACTACTTTAGTGTGTGTGAGCTGCTTTTCCAACTCATCTCTGTTGCCTAAAATGGAATGTCTATTTGAAGGTCTCTTTTTATAGTCTTCATTTGAAGAGACAGTTAACTAATGAGAAACTTGAGCCATTCTCCTTTTTCCCCCATCTCCTCCTTCTGTACACAAGTGATTTCTCAAACCCTGCTAGTGATCATGCCATGATCCTACCATTTAATGTGTAGTATTCATCACGGCAGGTGAATAGTTAACTTTGTTTGAGAAGTACAACAATTTTCAGACTGTGTATGTGAAAATAATATAAGCTTTCTTTAGACCAAGAGTACTTTTGAAATTGTATCTTCTTGTTGTTACTGTTGGTTTCTAAGTGTCTGATCCATCTCCCAGTAAAGTTAATTAACTTCATTGGGTGTTGAATCAGGCCCCAAAGCATTCCACTGTGGCTGAAACACAGTACAGTATTGAAAATATTTACTAAATGGGTTGCTTTGAAATTGGGTAGGCTACAGTATGTTGGCAAAATGGATGCTGTTGTATATTTTGAGGATAATTGCTTAACCAAACACAATTTAATTGATAAAAGACTGTACACATATGATAATACACTTCTCTTTAAACAAGATGTGCCCATAAAATAAATATTTAATTTAGTAGTTGCATTAAATATTAATGTCTGTGTTTCATTCCCAGGGTGGTGCCCCGTGTTTTTCAAAACTTGATTATGCGGTAGCTTGGTTCATCAGAGAATCCATGACAATATACATTTTCCTATCTGCCTTATGGGACCCCACTATTAGTTGGAGGACAGGACGCTACAGATTACGCTGTGGAGGCACTGCAGAGGAAATCCTTGATGTATAGCCCCAGCTTTGTGACTGTATTTCAAAAAAGAAAAAAAAGGAGAAAAAAAAGTATTATAAATTATGTTTATATAAATGCTTTTAAAAAAATCTACCTTCAATAGTTTTATTACTTGTATGTTTTGGTATTTGTTCTTTAATTTATTTTTGCATGGCACTTGCATCTGTGAAAAAATACATCTGTAGTTTTGGCCAAATGGTACCTTCTTTTTTATGTATAAAAGGAAATCAAGAGAATTGGTCCCAGGATCCATTTTCTTTATGAATGTTCTGCAGTAAACTCTAAAGACAGTATCCTTCAGTACAGGAAAAGCTTCTTGCTCTGTGGTACGCTATCTTAGTAAATTGAGAGGTAAAATGGCCTTTGTCCATTGGATTGCAGCAGATTGGAGAGTAACATCACTACAGAAGTACAATAGGCTTCTGCAGCATTTGAAAGATGGAGCTAGTAGCGGAACACTAGGAGAGAAGTCCTTAGATGCTTTATGCCTACCTCTTGTAGTTGCTGCAGAGCAAATATAAACTAATAGATAACTAGGCCTTGCAAAAAACAAAAGCTGGAGTCTTGTATTTATATGTATATATTAAAACTATTTTTTTTGTCTCATTTGCAATGAACCAAAAGTGGACTGAGTTTGGGGTGGGTGGGTGGAACTATTAGTTAGCCATGTGTTGAGGGCATCTTTTGGCCAACTCTGATTGGTTCTGTCTTGAACCATTGTTATCACTGTGCTGTAATTAGCCTAGCTAATCCCCTTCATCATTCCTGTCCTCTTTAAGGAGTTTTTTGTTTCTGTGGGTGAATGTTTTGATAATTGTGTGTGGGGGGGGGGATGCAGTTCAAAAACATTTCACACATGAGCTATTTTCTTACACAATGTCTTATTGTTAATAAGAATGTAATTTCATGATGCAGGTATTTAATATCTTTTTTTAAGTGAGCAGATAATATACCTATACTAGTCATGAATAAATATTAAATTGCAGTAGATATTGTGAGTATATTAACGGGCAGGACGAATTTGCTGTTACTGATTACATTGTAACCTTAATTTAACTAAGTCTACACTCTTGGCTTTTTGCCTTCTACTTTTAGTCTAGTCTTTAAATTGGATTTTTTTGTATTCCAATGGTATGATTAAGGACTAGATTATAACCAAGTTGTAAATGCATGCTGTATTCTTTCCCTCTCGGCTCCTATGAACTTGTTTTCCACCCCCATTGTGAGATTGTTCTTAACTTGTGGTGAACTGGACTTGTTTGGGTTTTTTTGTTTAAATATTTAAAAAAAAAAATTTAAAACCGTACAAAGCAAAATTGGAGAGGGACATTGCATAAGCCTTATGGTTTTTTATAACTGTATACTGCTTCTTCTTGAGAATGGGATGAATGTCTGCTGCTAAATGCAGGGCTAGCATTGTCACTATGGCAGCTTTAAATCCTAATTTATACGCCACTCCTGTGTCAAAGCATAATGTGTAGCATATTAGCAATAATTATATGTATTTATAAAAAATGGACAATTTTTCACCTTACTGAGCCAATCCATTACTTGTCTATCTGATATACACACACACGTGTGTGTGTGTGTGTGTGTGTGTGTGTGTGTGTGTACATATTCTGAGGCAAAATGCTTCACCCAGCTTCATATTCTTTTGCCTTATGACATCACTGAATTTGTTTTTGAAGGGCATTTTTTCTACATGAAAACAAAGGCTTTTTGATGCATGTTCCATTCTTTACATGTGAATCAGGGAGAAACTCTTCCTGAGGAAAGGTGCACGCTGAAAACCAGTCTAGTTGTGACCCACTAAAAGGTTGCTTTTTTTAATCACTACTATACAGATGAATTTTGCTGACAATGTGTATATTTTATTTGTTTCATGAAGTTTGGTTGACGCCATTCATTGCACTGCTAAAGTGAAGCCGAGCTTGTTACTTAGTTTTACGCTGTTCTCCATGTGGGCAGTGTAAAAGAAAAACCAAAAAGGCTGAACAGACTTCATTTTTTTTTTTTTAAAGTTTGTAGGTATGACGAATAACTGTTGATGTGCTTTTTGCATTGGTGGAGCCTTCATCACTAAAAAAAAAAAATGACGCTTCATTTAAGCAAACAGCTTGATTTCTTGTATTGTTAGAAAGTTGAGTTGATGAAATGGAAACCAATACTTTTGAGTACTGCAGAGGGCACTGCAACAGAACTGCATAAAAGTTATGGTTAAATATGGTTAGTTTTAAAAGTCTTGATCAACAGATGTCTAGAATATACCATGTTTATTATTTAAAATCATTGTCTTGTTTTTGTTTAAAAAAATAAATTTTGAATAAATCAAATGTTTGGAATATAAATCTGTTTTTACTTTATTCAACTGAACTAATGTTGCCTTAAAAAACACACACACACAAAACTTGTGTTAATTACCAGTAGTTGTCTTGCTGTAAAATAAAAATGTAACTTTAATTCATAGCATTTCTATGGTGCTATTCTCTGTAGTAACTGAATCCAGATTACTACAACAAATATGATCCAGTTACTTTTGGTAAATGTGCACAGCAGATCATTTCTAGAAATCTGTCCATACTACAACTTTGAACTACTTTAAAGAACTCCACATGGCTTCTTAAAAAAAGAACAAAATTTACGAAGTGTATTCTGAACCCTGCTAAGGAGTTTCTTCTGAACACATTTCAACCTAACAGGTCATTTGTGGAAGGTTTGCTGCAGAAACATGCTAGTTTTCTTACAAGCAACTCAATTCTACAACATGGTGTGAAAAAGGTACAGGGTTGCAAAGTGTGTACTTCCCAACCAGAAAGTAAACAGATTTAGTATGATCATGCATTAAAATAAGCAAGCGTGCAATTACTAAAATTAAATGTGGACTTCACAGACACGCACCTGTGGTTTTGTGCTATTGGACATTTGAAGTTTACATGCCTATTGGGTCTGTTTATGATAGCACATTTAATTAAAGTGCTTGTTTATTTGAACGTGATCATTTAATAAACTTCTTAAAACATCATTGTCTTCCTATAGTTATGGGGGTTTAGGGCAAAGGTCACAAGTTATGGGACTGAATGATACCCATAATTTGTCCCATAAGGCCATGTGGACATCTGTACTGGTTCCTGGAGTGGTTTTGGGAATAGTTCTCCTATTTTCATATATGTATTGAACTTGCTATAGTCTGATTACTGTATTGTACCAAGGTGGGTATCATCCCCATAGAACATGTGGAAATCGAAGTAGAAATGGCTCCTCCTCCCCCCCCCCCCCCATTACTACTTTAACACATAGGTATGTCTACTCTGCCGTTGGGAGTGAGCCTTCTTTCCCAGGGAGGCAGAGTTGTGTTGGTGGGGCGGGCGCTAGCGTAATAAAAATAGCTGTGAACGTTGCGGCACTGGCAGAGGCTCAGGATAGCCACCCAAGCTCAGAGTTGGGGGTAGGGTAGGCTTGAACTAGACGCTATCCCAAGCGTCTGCTGGTGCACACGGCTATTTCAGTGAGCGCAAGACCGGTTAGCAAAACTCTGTCTGCCAGGGCTGGGAGGCTCACTTTCAGCTGCAGGGTAGACATAACTGTATAACAATGGCTCTTCTCTTTGGCAGGAGTGGAGGGAATTATTCACAAATCAAATAATGGGAACATTTTGCAGGGAACTTTTTGCAAAAAAAAGTCCCTTATTTTTAAATATATATTTTCTTTTTAATTTTCAATCAAGCCTATTCAGTCCCTGCAGGGGCATTCATCACCTCACAGGATCAGACCCTGGAAGTAAGGAGGTAAAGTATTTCCTTCATTTCAGAAGTGGAAGGAATACCCACACACCCGCTACTGTAGATAAAAGTAGCGATATTACCCTTTTAAGCCAGTTTGTTTTGAAACACCTACCTCTGACCATTTAATACTGTTAGGAGCTTTTAAAGGATTCAGCCAGCCCGTCACAACCCGGAGATGACTAGATTTAGCACTGGCGTGAATACTGCAATAGTGCCTGCAAAATACACGTTACCACAATTAAGGGTTGGTTTCCTGGTCTTGGGAAATTGCATCTTATGAGAAGATGATACAGATAGTCAGTCTCATGACCATAGGGTAAAGTGTCACAATATGGGGGAAAAGCTTCCAGGAAATTACAACCACCTCCTATGTTGTGTGCTCACTGTAACGCAAATCCTTCCAGCTGCTCAAAGATCCAGTAAACAGGCTTTGCACATGGGAAGAGGATGTGACTGTGAAAGAGACAGACTTTGTCCCCACCCCACTTCCCTCCAGGCTCATGAACAGCTTTGGAGCTTCTCCATGGCCATTACTGCAACCCAGGGGTGCTGGAACTAGGGATGTGGCAGAACCCCCAGCTTGCAGTGGTTTCCATCAAATGCAGGGTTTATAGTTTTGTTCAATGGCTTTCTGCACCCCCACTATAAAAATTGTTCCAATGCCACTGCTGCAGTCCATGGGCAACAGCACCCTCTATGGCCACTGTAAGCTGCCTTAGAGTTTGGCTACTTTCCACTAGCGTCCTTATGTCTGTGGAGAAGCAACAATGGGAGCCTTGCCAGTGATCCCCAAGGAGTACGGGTAGGCATAACAGCAGCCACCAGGGCCATTGACTAGTGGTAGTTTGGAGCTTTGACTTGTGTCATGTGACTGGGGCCAGAAGGAAATGAAGACCAGTTTTTTACCAGCACTTCCTATGTTCAACAGCTTTATTAGGTGGTGTTGGAAGAAAACTGAATCACTGGGAAAGTGGAGCAAATGAATCTGCCTGAATCTCTCTGTCTGGCAGTGATCCTAGCAAAGAACTGCAGGAGGTGGCTGCTTCCAAATTTTCCTGGAAGTAAGTAGTACTGAAAAACCAACAAGGACAGAATCATCCACATTCAATGACCTCCTGAGCCAAGCCAGAATTTTAGTCAAGAATACCACGTTTTCTTAAAAACCCAGCTGCCAGATGAGAGCATTGACCATCATATTATAGAGTTGCTCCATGAGAACAGTTCAGGAGGTCATATTTAGACTTCAGACTGCAAGAGTGTTTTCCATAGTGATGCAATGAAAAATGCGGTCAGGTCTGATGTGATACAGAAGTTTCAAAATTCTGCACATTCAAATGCCCTTCTAGTAGATATATCTTTAAGCAACTTCCTTATGAGTTTGTCTCAAATCTGAAATATCCTGTCCCAGGTGAAAAACTGAACCCAGATCAAAATTTTGCAAATACTCTCTATCTTTGTCTGCTGTGTCTAGCTCTGATTCTGTTTTCTATGTGTTTCTTTCCCTGTAAGAAGACTGCCCATCTGTCTCTGAAGTGTCCCTAGTCTCTTTTTGCCAGAAGCTGGGAATGGGCAATGGGATGGATCACTTGATGATTGCCTGTTCTGCTCATTCTCTCTGAAGCACCTG